ACTCGCGGCGTGGGGCATGCTGGGACTTGTAGTTTCTCTCCGAGGGCCCCTGACGGGCTGCAAGAGTACCGCCCTGCGGGTCCCGGTGACTCCGTGGAGGGGGCGCCCAGCCCGAGCGGAGGGTGAGCACAGGCCCCGCGTTTTCCGGGACCCCGTGGAAATCCCAGTGGGGGTGGCCTTCCCCGTGTGAATGCCTATCGAACAGTCTCAGTTGACACGTCTCTGTAGAGGCTGGTTTACAAATCCCACCCTGCAGGGCTGGTTGAACGTCTTCTGTTCCTGGGACCTGTTAACCACCCTCCCCCTCCCCCGTTCAATTTATTTTCAATCCCCGGAGAACTTCCCCTTCCCACCCAAGCCTGAGGAAGGGCTCTGTTTCCCCCATAAATGAGGCTAAGGGCTTAGCAACATCTGTCAGTTGGAGATAGACTAGGCCAGTGGTTGTCAGGCTTGAGCATCGCATTAGAATCACCTGAAGGGCTTGTAGAAACAAAAATTTTAAAACACACACACAAATTGCAGAACTCCCAGGACCAGAGTTAAGAATTGGTTCAAGATGCGACCGGAGAACTGCATTTCTTACAAGCTCCCAGGTGATTCTGATCTGGCCCCTGTAGAAAAAGGCATCTTCAAATGGTCTTATCTGACACTGGCAGGAATAACAGGAGGAAAATTTTGCACTTACTGTAAACAGACTTCCGAGCAGGCCACTTCATAAGTACCCCTCACCCCCTCCATAAGACTATTAAATGTATAAATGGGACGAAAAGTGCTCTAAACACTGGGACATGCTTCAGAAATGTCAGGAGTTACTGCACAGGGACCTATCTTCAAGTTGAAGACTTTGTGGCTTTAGACCAAATTACTCTTAAGTGGTCATTTGTCCATCTACTCACCCACCCGATCGGTATGTGCCAGTCCCCATGCCTTATGAGAGGCACAGAGAATAGGGTGCTTACTGTCTGGTGCAGAAAATTACAGTCCCAGCCTCATTCTAGGATCTTCAGGACAAGAGAAGAGACTCACAATGTGTCTGGTGTGAAATAAATCCCTGTAAGATTTTTATAAACTCTCCTCCACTCCTTTACATCTGGGAAGGATATAACATGCAACAGTAAGTCACAATACAAAGAGAAAAGGGGTAGAATGGAAGAAGTTTTCTTAGGGGCGCTGAGAATAAAGTGCAGCTGTGGGAAAGAGCACTACCACTGAGGATTAGACAAGGCACCAGGGACAGAAATCACGAGGGGTCGTGGGCCTTTGTTTCTCCTTCCATAATTTGAAGCTCCCTATCAAACTCCCTGAGCCTGGAACACATCTGTTTCCTCTCCCTTCAGTTTTATCCATTTTCTGTCCTTCAAAGCCCACCCCAGTTGTTTTCATTTCCTGACCACTTCCAGCCCACGTAGATATTTGCTTCAACCTCATGTGTGACCCTTATTTGGCACCGAGAACAAACAGCCCTCTAGTGTTGGCTATTTGAGTTTGCACATTGGACTTCCTTTAGGGTACTGTTAAGGTTCTACATTTCCTCAAGGATGGGATTAGGTCTGAGTGCTCTTGTGGACTTCACACCGGGGAATGCATAGAAAACACTAGGTACTCATTGTCACGGCTGATATATTTTGGACTGGCTTACATCAAATGAGGAAGCAGGTCGAAAGATGTGTGGCAGCAACGGTCTACTTTCACTAGAGCCAGGGTGGAAATTGCATTTTAGGGTGGGGTAGGATGGACGTAGGGGCAGAAGGAACAAGAGGGGGTGGGGAGAAGGGAGGAGAGGAAGACCCAGACCTGCTATGTGACTGCTGTGTATCTTAAGCATAGAATTTAATGGAATGACTAATCTGTTCAGCATCAGTCCTATGGCCATGGAACCAATAACAACTTGGTGTGGAAGGCTGCGTAACACAGAGAAAAAAATGTGTATAGCTTTTGAAGTAAATAAGACCTGGATTAGAATCTTAGTCCTACTATTTATTAGCTGCTATTCTTGGACAAGCTACTTCATCTTTCTTGGATCTTAGGTTCTTCATTAATTAAAAGGGTAACAATATTAAATCACAAACGTTTGGTTTGATGAGAAAAGGAGGTGACGTGAAAGTATCCAGCTCACCATGCCTTACCATGTAGTAGATTACGGTGAACCAAAACAAAACAAAAATCACAGAAGAATGAGAACAATGGAAGTCCAGGATACTACACTTCATGTCACATTTGAAGCTGTGGCCAAGGCTTGTTTTGCCATGCAAGCACTGGGCCCACCCGCCAAGCCCAAAGCAGACTTTACATACACTGTTCACAGGCAACAAACCCACCAAATAAGCTTCAAAGAACCCTTCCTAAGAGGTTCTGTTTGGAGCGTGCCTTAGATGGAAAGCGCCCTGTGACATAACCAGCTGATTTATTTCTGAATGACTAGTGTCAGAATTGGTATACATAGGCAGGTAGAGTGATACTTCCATTTTGCATTGATTTAAAGGCTGGTCACAGAGGCAACGGACTAAAACGCTCTAATTTTCAAAAGTGTACTTTAACCCTACTCTTTCCACCATTGAAGATCACTCTTCTATAATGATGAATTGTAACAATTTATTCTACCTACCAACGTCCAAAAATGAGCAATGCTTTGTAAGACCAAGGAGGTTTCTGACATAGCCTTTTAAGCATTCAAACATTCAAGTTCAAAACTTATTGCAGAGAGTCATCAGTATGACTTACACACAAAGGTAGGTGCAATGGTATTCAACAGCGCTGACATCTCAGAGAAGTAGCTTGAAGATAACTTGAAGGTTCAAAACGTTTTTAAAAAATGTCAGAAAACCTTTCCAAATGAACTAAGTTCTGAGGTCCAATCTTCTGAAATACCTAACTAATTACCCTAGAGATCCACAAGAAGTGGCTTCTGTGACACCAGACTCGCCGCTTTATTTCTCCTCCCCATCACTAATTGTTCAATTTTTGATTAATGCCATAAGGTACATGAGCTGAGCTGGTGCCAAGTTTCTGTGCAGCATCAATATGGAACATGCGGTCATCAAAGAAGATGTGGGGCCGTATTTTCACCAAGATGGGACTTTTGGAGGCTCCAGCAAGGAAAAGGGCTTCATCTATCTCTAGACCCCAGCGGCGGAGCATTTTCAGCACTCGGGCACCTGAACTGGCTGCACTCCTGGCTGTAACCAGGTAAGTCCTGATAGGGCAACATAACCGTTGGTCTTTGGCATAGAACTTCTTTTGCAGTCTGCCTAATTCTTCCAGAAAGCATTTCAAGGGACCCTGCAAAAGGAACATATGCCACAGCTGTGATCCAGTGAAGCAAAGGAAGTGAATGCTGAAAAACAGAGGCTTATAAGAGCTTATAAAAGGATGTAATTCTACAGTATTACAAAGCCAATGGCACAATGGTGAAACGCCTTGCATTTACTTGAATATACTCCCTTATATGGAACCATCCTTGCATTCCTCCAATAAATGTAGGATGGTCATATAATTTGTTGTCTAAACACAGATATTTTTTAAGAGTGAAAGAAGTTTCTATTGAAAAGGTAAACCAAGGCAACAGACGTAAATTATTGATGGCAAAGTGGGATACTTTACATAAAGCTCAGTTAATTACCAAAAGCACTACTCTTTTAATTTGCTTTTTCTGAATTGCACACTTTACCCTTATAAAGTATACCCCTTTATCGTGTGTCATACCTTGTTGGCTTGAATCTGGCCTTGTCTTATATTTACAAAAACTTTGTATAACATCACAGTTGCTTTTATCGTCAACCTTTCTAAACACTTAGTTTTACTTGTAGTTCTATGGTATAGAGCATAGAATTGGATTTTGCTATGTGAGCCAATCTGAAAGTCTTAAATTTTGAAAACAAAAGTGGAGTTTTAGGACATTTATATTTATTGATATTACGAATATGCATGGTAATGGTTCTGTCTTATGATTTTTATTGTATTTTTCATGTTTAAAGATTTTAAAGGATTGTTCACTAACAAGTGCCTTTTTCGGTACGTGTGTGTATATGTGTTTCTTCTAAGATTTAGGAAGGTTTATATTATTTCCTTCTATTGGTTACCTTAATAACTATAACTTTTTATAGTCCCTCCAGTACTCTATTTTAAAAAAATCCCAGGTCAATTATTTGTTACAATGAGAAATAATGAAATGAGGATACTTCTTTACCTCTCCTTTATCTGTATTTCTTCTTCAGCCATCCGATTTTACTTGTTACATTTGCATTATTAAGGATTCTCATATTTGTTTATCAGCTTTACATTTTATACTTTGATCAGCTATTGTACTTGAAGATATCAGCATACGTACTCTTCCTTGGACCTTTTTCCTCCATGTTTTTCCAGCTTTCATTAGTTGTATAATTTCTATATAAGGGCACGTAGTATGTAGTTTCTTTTCTGCTCCCTAGTTCCTATGATTGTTTTAGTTTGGTTCTATGATTAAATATATTCCAGGTCCATTTTTGCCTTTGTATTTCTAGTCATCCACATATTAACCAAAATGTGTCCTCTAGTACTCCTTTTGTCAAGGAATCTTATGGAAATTAAATCCCAGATAATATTGTATGTTCTCAACTGTTGACCGGTTTCCTTTTTACTTGAATGAACTTTTGGCTGGATATAGGATCTGTGACTTATATGTTCTTTCCATTTGATCTTATAAGTAGTGCTCCACTGTCTTTTCTTTAAATCTACTTTAAACTTTTTAAATTATAGTTTACATTCAGTATCATTTTGTATTAGCTTCAGGTGTATAGCATAGTGGTTAGACAATCATATGCTTTACAAAGTGTTTACTCCAATATTTCCAGTACCTACCTGGCACCGTACATAGTTATTACAGTATTATTGACTATATTCCCTATGCTGTACTTTACATCCCTGTGACTATTTTGTTACTACCAATTTGTACTTCTCAATGCATGCGCCTTTTTCACCCAGTCCTCCAAGCCCTTCCCCCTCTAGCAACCACCAGTCTGTTCATTGTATCTATGAGTCTGTTTCAATTTTGCTTCTTCATATATTTTGTTCTTTAGATTCCACATGAAAATGAAATCATAAGGTATTTTANCAAGCCCTTCCCCCTCTAGCAACCACCAGTCTGTTCATTGTATCTATGAGCCTGTTTCAATTTTGCTTCTTCATATATTTTGTTCTTTAGATTCCACAAGAAAATGAAATCATAAGGTATTTTAATTTGACTGACTTATTTCATTTAGTATACTGTCCTCTAGGTTCATCCACACTATCCCATATGATAAGATTTCATTTTTTATGGCCAAGTAATATTCCACTGTATTTATGTACCACAGCTTTTTTATCCACTTGTCTGTTGATGGGCACTTGCTTTGGTTCCATATATTGGTTATTGTAAATAACACTGCAGAGAACATAGGGATGCATATATTCTTTCAAATTAGTGTTTTGGGTTTCTTCAGATATGTACCCACCACTGGAATTGCTGGGTCATAAGGCAGCTCCATTTTTAATTTCTGAGGAACCTCCATACTGTTTTCCATAGTGGCTGCACTAATCTGCATTCCCACCAATAGTAGAGCACCATTGTCTTTTACTATTGAATGCTGCTGTGGAAAAGACTGAGATTATCTTCAAGTAATTCTTTTTTTGAAGGTTTTTTGTGGTTGTTTTTTTTTTGGAGAGCTTCCACATTTCAATAATAGTTAAAGGCTAATATATGATGGGCTCTGAATTTCAGCAAAGAAGACATATATAAAATATAACAAATGACTTTCCTCTCAATTGTAAACTTTGTTAACACTGAACAACTTTATAACATGAGAGCAATTTTTCCAAAGGAGCTATTTAGGAGGGGACTATAAAGTGAAACACACACACACAGTTTAAATATCACTTGATGTAATGTAAGTTTAGTTAGTAAAACTTGTAAACTTTCAGTTAATCTAGTAATACTTTTATAAATGTAATAAAAATATATATTTATCTTCAGTTCAAGAAGAACAGAAAAAAGGAGGCCAGTTAAATTTCTTGGTAAGATTCATAGATTAAACTGAATGATCCATTAGCTCAGATTCAGTCTGGAGAATATTTTGAGTCTTCCAATTTCCTGTGGTTCAGAGGTTGTAGGTTTTGTTTATCTCAGACCATGACTTTAACACTTCAACTTCAGTTCATGAATTTATTCCAGAAAGCCTGCGCACTCCGTTTCAGTCCGATTGGGTCTTCATAGTTTTGCACTTATTTGAGGCTCATTATTTGATTCAACTCAAGCTGTCAGTTTTGCAGATTTTCTCAATTAAGCAAATGCCTTTATTGAGCTTGAGGTCATGGAGAGGGAGGTTCACGAAATGTTTACTGACCTGTTGGAAATGACCTTACTATTCTGAGAACCTGTTATGTAGAAATGGCTTATTGGTAAGCCACGATACCTCTGTTCCTCATCATTTGGGGGGTGAAGTCATTATCATAAGATCATAGAAACGTTTCCAAAAGGCTAGATAAAAGCATGTTTTTTAAAAAAAGTCAGCAGCAGATGCTTCAAAATGAAGAAAACTGCAAGGATCAGAAGTGAGGAGCGGCTGCATAAAGTAAGCTGAAGGCCATCGCGATGACCAGCTATTGGGATCTACTGGGAAACGAGCAGATCAGAATTAACGAGCGCCCCTCTGACCTACCTGAGGAGAAGACTTATTCTCAAGTTGTGGGTCATGTTGGAAGAGTTTGTCCAGCCCGTGCTCCTTGGTAGCAAACTCGGCCTCCTCGGAGAAGAGAACAGAGTCTCCATCGAAAGCCACACGGAGCTGAGTGTCGCAGTAAGACATGTCTTTGCCTCCGTCGAACATGGTTGCCGAGGCGATGCCTGGGAGGCCAGGGAGGCTGATTAATGCTCATTCAGGGCCACGACCTTTCGTTCCTACTGGTAAAACGATAATAGAAAGCCCTCCCGGCCCTCGCATTTCCTCTGTGGCTGTTCCCTGATGACTCAACTCCGCTCCACAGCCACACACCTCACAACAGCTGCCTGCGTGCCACCCCCATTTTAACAAGGGGTGGGAGAGTGTGCGATGGGTGTGAGAGGATCTCTGGGGATGCCCACCTCCAGGGAGGTCCAAGCTCTAAAAGACACACTTAAGGGCTGCCGCCTGCAGACACATCTTAACAGAAAGTCCAGCGAGGCCTAAGCCCCAGATCATACGGGAGAAGCCCAGTGGGAGTGAGCACAGCACAGGCCCCCCTATTAATTACCGGGATCAAACCAAACCCGTACCTTCTTGTATGGCTTCTTGTACTTTTCCGTAATCCGCAGAAAGATAGAAGTTGGTAAGATAGGCCTTCAGATAGCCGATGGGGCTCTTCCCGCCCGTCAGACAGAAGCGGTCAATCAGCAGGCCTGTTGCGGGGCCAGAAAGAGGTTACGTCAGAGACTGAAGACTGTCCACTTACCGTCCGTGCAGCTGAGACTGACCTTGGGGACGGCAGAGCCTCCTGAGGTTTTACAGTTTCCTTCTTAGCGCCAGTCAGTCTCTTATTTAACAGTAGATGTGCCGGGTGCGTAAGTTATGAAGTCCATCCCCATGGGCCTTGCCAATTTAGCGTCACAACAACAGCATTATTATCTTCGTCACAGAAAAGGACACTGAGACCTAACGTCTTGTCTAAGCCCACTGGGTCCTGTTGATTCCTGCCCTTCGCCTGCAGCCTCCTGAGTTGTTGTAAAGGCCAGTTAAAGTGTGGCTCTATTTTAAGTACCATTTCTGTCCTTCAGTAACAATACAACTGTAATAAAAATGTGTGCTAGGAATGGAACAGTCTTCTAAAAGCAGCAACAACAGGTAGGAAATTGTCTCTGTTTCCTGACTTGAAATTTTAAATGGAATTATTAGCAGACTAAACACAATATACCATCAAATGTCTTTTAAATAAACAATTAAAAATATACTAGATGTTGGTGAGAGGTTTGTAAAATAAGCACCCAAATACACTATGGATAAAAGTATAAATTGGTACAGGCTATCTAAAAAGTAATTTGACAAAATATATGAAGAACTGTGAATTGGTTTATACATTTTGACCTAGGATTCCTTTTCCTTTAAAAAATTGTTATTAGTTTATTCTAGGGAATAATCTAAAACTCTGATAAAGATGTATGTAGGAAATGTCTCAGTGCAGGGTTATTTATAGAAGCAAAACATCATTCAACAACGTGTGACTAGTTCAGTGAGGTACAGCATTATGCATGTACGAAATGTACCCATTCAAAGTGTTCTTAGATACGTGATAAAGTAGGTAGCTGGGTATCATATAAAGCAGAAGTTTGAGTCTGTCACCTATATGGACCAAGAGAGTAGATAGGGTCCATCAACAGTTGAGGTGCAAGTATTTGTTTTGGTATTAACAAAATACTCTGTTTTTCACTTAAGCCAACACTGGGCATAAGTGTCACAAAACTGTACAAATCCTTAGTTATATTAATTTAATGATCAGAAATTACGTGGTGGCACCGGGATTTTAGAAATGACTAGAACATTGTCCCTTATCTCAAAGAGACAACAGTTCACTGAGGAGCCAGGCTTGTAAACAGATAATTATAATGTAACAAAGACCACAGCAGAGAGAGAAACAAATGGCCTTCAGTACCCAGAGAAGGCAAGTGACTGACTCTTCTTCCAAGCGAAAGGCAGTTATTCCATGAACAAGGCTGCGTGAGAAGATTCGGTTCAGTCAGTTAATTAGCAGATTGGATAGGTGAATAACAATGATTTTTTTATGCTTCTACCTTTGATGGGCTCAGTGTGGTGAGGGGTAGATAGACCTAAACCGCCTACTAACGCAAATAGTAGCTGCACTTTACTGAGTAACTAATCTATGCCAGTTGTCTATTGTAAACCTTTTATATACGTTCGTGTCGTAACACTATGAAAGTTGCATTTTTGAAAGGCAAGCATTTTTTAAAGTATGTAGTTAGGACAATGTAAAGCTCATAACTTGTAATATATCTTGATTATTTATAAATACGCCCAATTTCAACCAGGATTTAAATATGCCAAATTTACACCTTATTTTGGCTTCACGTATCCATAAAGCTGATGTCACTTAGAAAAGAGGCCAGAAGTCCCCAAATAAGAAGTCAGGTAATTCCATAACAGGGAGGAGGACTTTCTCTTAAAGTCTCCTGCACATTGATGGAGACTTTTGATGTGTGGGGAGAGCAGCCAGGGAAAATCAGAGTTTAAGAGTGGAAAGGAGCGGTGAAAACCTTTAAACCTTTAACATGTATCTGTGGTGAGCAAGAAGTTTGATCACACAGCGAAAGCCTCCGGGTTGACGGCTCCTTGAAGTCAAGTTCAGAAGTGAAAAACATAAAACAGAAATATATTGCAGGACCTGGGATTAAGACTTTGAAATTCACACTTGACAAGTTAAGTCCAGAGCTTTGGGCCCAACTGTGTGCTGAAGTTAAAAATGAACATGGCCCCTCTTGTTCTGACATAGGCAAATAAACATTCCTCACGCAGGAGGGGGTGTCAGTATCAAAGACACTGCGTTCGTTAGGCCACAGTTAGCAAAATAACATGGCTTCTCTCCTCCAGAGCAGCGAGCTGTTCTTCCACATGGTATTTATTTTACTTACCATAGTGATTGACGCTGTTTATAAGCCGCACTCCCACTTGGGCATGGTTATTAGTCATCAGTACAATATCAAATAAGTCTTGTTCTTCAGGATACAGATCCCGGAGTCTAGCATTGACATGCTGCAGGGCCTGTAGGTTACAAACATGAGCTCGCGTAAAGTGGGCCAGGCAAGGTGGGCCCGGGAGTCTGGAGAGAAGGGATCTCATCAGTGTCAAAGTCAAGCTTTGAAGACTTCACTGAGAGATTATGGCTTCTTTAAGGCGGGGTTATGTCATTCGCTTCTGTATTTTATGCCTCTCACACGCAAGGCTTCAGTTACTGATTAGTGAATATATAGGTAGTACTTGCTGCAAATTGTTACATCCGCTCTACTAGCACTATCTCTGTTGGCTGGTAGAGAGAAGGATCAGGCTAGCTCTTTTACACTTTGTCTATTTTTTGTTTGTTTTGTAAAGTCTGCCTTTCTTGATCATATGATAATTATTATTTTATTTTTCAATTACTGTTCACATTCAGTGTCATCTTATACCAGTTTCAGGTGTACAGCACCGCGGTCAGACAATCATGTGATTTACAAAGCGATCCCCCAGGTAATTCTAGCACCTACCTGGCACCATACGTATTTACTATGAAATTATTAATTATGTTCCCTATGCTGTATTTTACATCCCCATGTCTATTTTGTAACTACCACTTCATACTTCTTAATCCCTTCCCCTTTTTCACCCCGTTCCCCCAAACCCTTCCTCTCTGGCAACCCTGTTTGTTCTCTGTGTCTATGAGTCTATTTCTTTTTTGTTTTTTTTTCATTTATTTTGCTCTTTAGATTCCACATATAAGTGAAATCATATAGAATTTGTCTTTCTCTGTCTAACTTAGTTCACTTAGTGTAATACCTTCTAGGTCCATCCATGGCGTTGCAGATGTTGAGTTTGTTCCTTTTTATAGCCGAGTTATAGCCGAGTAATAGTCCATTGTATATATGTACCATAGCTTCTTTATCTAATTGTCTCTTGATGGCCACTCGGGTTGATGATTATTATTTTTTTAATTAAAATTTATTTTTTTCGATGGTTATTTTTATTGTGAAAAGTATAGAATGCATCGTGAATTTGCATGTTAACCTTGCATAACGGCCATGCCAATGATCTGTATTGTTCCAACTTTAGTATATGTGTTGCCAAAGAGCACTTTGTCTATTTTTAAGCAGGAGTCTTTAGAATAGGTGTGTGGTTTCCTCATGCTCCTCTCACGCCCCATAAGTACTTTCTACTTACAACTGTGGAGTTGTCACTTATTTTTGCCTGGTTATAATGCTATTGTGTAATATTTAAGTTATGTAGAGGATCACAGTTAAAGTGCTATACATTTCTGTATAAATTTAGAGAACGTTTATTAAAATCATGTCCCTAAGTGCCAAGAACATCTTGATTTTTAAAAATATGCTCTGTTTGGGTCAAAAGCAGCAAAAGTGAATTTCATCTCATTTTAAGGAGGCATTTTATTTCTACTAGTGCTCGGAATTGTAAACTCATTATTTTTTCTGGCTACTTCTAGGGAGGGAGCACAGGTTTCTGTACAGGTCTCACGATTGGGACTCCACCTGGGAAAGCTCAACATCTCACATTAGGATTCAACAGTCCGGAAGCCTCTTTGAGAGCATGAACTGACCTGGGGTCAACTACAGGGGCCAGAATGACAAAGGTGGATCAGGGATTAGGAGGGAACCTGGATGCCATCCCAAGGGTCGGCCTGAGTCCTCCCCTCCCCACGCGTGTCTAGCGACAAAATCAGCTTGGCGGTACCTTGACGAAGCGGAAGCCCGGCCCCGGGGTCAGGATGACGTTCTCATTGCAGAGCTGATACTCCATGTACTTTTCCAGCCCCTCTTCCTCGTAGATCTTCTTGCCATCCAGCATGTTGAAGAGGGCCCGGGAGGACACAGCGACCGTGATGGCGTGCTTGGGTTTGGGCTGCGGACAGGGGTGCCAATGGGGGGGGGGCGGTCACACAGATGGGAAGGGATCAGGGACAGGGCTCCTCCCAGGTCAGGGTGGGAAGAAAACAGACGGGCCCTTGCTTAGAGCGCAGGGCTGCTGGAGATGGCCAAGGCCTGGGACCCCCGCCAGCCCCCATCGCAGCCACAGGGGCCGCAGGGGGGAGGCTTGGGGCCCACTCGGGCTCCCCACAGCGCGGAGGGGAGGGGTGCTGGGAGAGGCCTGGGCTGCGGGCCGCGCAGAGGCACCCAGGGCAGCGGGCGCTGGGGCTC